CAGCTAAACCGTGACCAGGGTGGAGGCAGCAGGGCTGAGTGGCGAGGGCACAGGCTTGGGGGACAGACGGGCCTGGGGCGAGCCAGCTCCCCTCTCGTGCAGGGGGACCCAGGCAGATGGCGTTTCCTCCATGCAGGGTGGGGCCAGCGCCACTCACAGCCCCAGCCCCGGGAGAGGACGGGCCTGTACGTGGAGCACCTGTCCTGACACGCCCGGGATGGCCGAGAACACGGCCCGCAGTACAGGGAACTCGTTAGGCCTACCTCTCTGGCCTCATAGGTGTCAGGGACCGTGATCCGATAGGGGGCGTCCGGAATGTCGTAGTAAGGTTGGTCCTTGTGAATATCCTGCAAGCACAGTGACACCCTCTCTTCCAACGTGCCTTCGGAAGCTGCTGCGCCTCTGACGTGGGGCAGCAGGATGGTGGCTGCCCGCCCTGCCCCCACCCCACCCTGTGACCAGTTTCCAAATCGGCTCCAGCTTCCGGGAAACACAGGGTGGGATTCGCCCCAGGCCCACCCCACCGTGCCTCTTGTTGCACTAATTAGGCTCAGGTGAATCTCCGGAGGAGCAAGCTGGAGGAGCAGGCTGCACAGAGGGTGGCCAGCGTGTGTGTTGGCTGGCCCGGGGCCCCAGGGACACTCACGGCACTCAGCGACAGTGACAGGGTCTGCAGGATGTCCAGCATGGTCTTCAGCACAGTCCCGCTCCAGAGCAAGTGGGGAAACCTGCAGGGAGAGCCAGCCTCAGCCAACGAGCTGGACCCAGGAGCCTGCTCGCCTTGGTAGAGGACTCCCACCCCCGCCCAGGCCGGCAGAAGCCCACACCTGCTGCTGCCAGCTAGCGTGGGGGTCAGAGGCCTCTGGGACAGATGCTTGTCCCCCAGGATCCCCGTGGTGAGGTGGGTGGTGACAGGTGCGAAATGCTCCTGGCACCCCTCCAGCCACATCCCTCAGGGCCACACACGCCCCGAGTGACCTGCTTGAAACCCGAGGCCGACTCTGCTGGCTCTGCACCAGCATGGCTGCACTCCTCGCTCGGACGCAGTTCTGCAAGATTTCGGCCAGAACTCCTCAGTGCTGCGTGCATTGTGCACACATAGAGAAGGCAGTGTTGGGACGACACCCTGGGGTGAGGAGTTGCTGTCTGTCCCTGCGGGGCCAGGCCGGGGCAGTGGCAGCCCCAGTGCCGACAAGGCAGACTGCAGTGTGACTCCTCACGGCTGCTGCACGGCGGGCCCAGCTCAGACACACCACGTGCGTGCTGGCCTTGTCCTCGGGGACTCTGGGAGCTCCTGACCAGCCTTTGCTTGGATGCTGCCGCTGCTGCTGCCTGGCCCCAGCTACAGACCCTGGGCACTTGCAGGAGCTGCAGGCAGGCTCAATGAGGGTGCGTGCTGCCTCTGGCCTTCAGACTGCGGCTGGCCCAGCCACCTTTGACGCTCATCAGCATGGGGACACATCCCAAGAGCATCTGCCTCGGCTCCCAGCATGGGCGGCAGGTGATGGAAAAGGGCCAGAGTGGATTTTTTATTCCCAGGCAGTCCAGAAGACGCCAGTTCTTCCAGGGAACCTCTGGTTGGGCCCTGGGCTAGGAGACGGTGGGCCAGGCCTTGTCAGAGTGAGTGGGATTCAGTGACACTGGGGTGACACCCTGATCAGCCAGAGGCATATGTAATAGCCATGGCTCTTAATGAAAGGAGGTTTCGGGACCAGCAGTTGGTGCAATGGCTATGTCACTGGACTCCCACGTAGTCGACCGCGGTTCGAGTCCCAGACCCGGTGGCTTAAACTCACGGCGGGCGCGTGTGCGTATGTGCCCAAGATCCCGAGAGGAGAATGGAGGAGAAGGGATTGCGGCATGGCCATTCCCCCTGGGGGTGATTTCTCGCTTTCTGTCTCTGTCTCTCTCTCTGTCTCTCTGGTGAGTGCACGCACCCTATAGCAAAAACCTCTTCAAAAAAAAAAAGGAAGGTTTTAGGAGCAAACTTCGGGCTCTGCAGCAAACTTACAGACACTCTGCGGGAGGCTGCCCTGCCCTGGAGTCTCCATCTCGACTCTGTTACCCTGCACGGGTAGCATAAAAACAATTTCTCGCTGTGTCCTGAATCCCATGCCTTCTTTCTCTCTCTCTCTCTGTCTCTCTCTCTCTCTCTCTCACACACA